CTCTCTCTCTCTCTCTCTCTCCTCTCTCCTCTCTCTCTCTCTCTCTCTCTCTCTCTCTCTCTCTCTCTCTCTCTCTCTCTCTCTCTCTCTCTCTATTTATCTACCTATTATCTATCTATATGGATTTATATATCTATCCATCTCGCGTATATATATATGTATATGTGTGTTTGTGTATAAGATAAATCTCTTGATATCTGGAACATGAAGTCTTGAAAGCAGAGTACATATGTATGTATATATGAATTCATATATGTTGGTATATTTGTATTAATGTATGTATGTATATTAGCATTATATGAATGTATGTATGCATAGTTATATGTAGTCACCGTGGCTCAAGCTGTAGCGTCTGCGACTCTGAGGCGTCAGGTCGAGGATTCGCACCCCTTCGCGGTCTGAGGTTAGCAAGGGCATGCACTCAGGGTAACGATTACATCTGCCCAAACAAGTCCTTCTCAAGAATGCAACCGTTCTAGCCCTTGGTAGAAAAGGAAGTCCGTGACGTAAAACCGGAACATGTATGCATTGTTATATGTAAAATGAACTTTAGGTAGTTTTTTAATATTATAATCCTAATTCTAATTAGGAAATGAAAACATGTTGTACAGCATTAATAACTTTAAGAAGCATAAAATCTTTTATCTTTCGTATATCACTTATTGCAAGTAATTTAAGTAAATTTCTGTAAGTACATTACATAACGTTTTCCTTGTGCCCAGGCCCGACGAGGGTAGATTTATTTTTCTTTTTTTACCCGTAAAGAAAAAAAAGTGCCAATAATATATTAATTTGGAAAACTTAAGCTTGCTGAAGATTGGCGGTTTCGGTAGCTTAGTGATGTAGTGTGCGACTCGAGGAATTAGCAAGCCCGAATAACACGGGATCAATCCCGTCGCCGGACGTTAGGAAGGACACCCAACATTAATCCACAACCTGTGTCCACCCATTCGAATGGGGACTGCATATGACATACAAGACCACAAAAGCATTTCTGATAATATTTTAAGGATATTCCTGTGTAGTCTCCGTGGCAAAATGGTAGCGTCCGCGACTCAGGCGTCAGGTCGAGGGTTCGCGCCCCGTCACGGACTGAAGTTAGCAAGGGCATGCACTCGGGGTAACGATTACATCTGCCAAAACAAGTCCTTTGCAAGAAGGCAACCGTCCTAGCCCTTAGTAGAAAAGGGAGTTCGTGACGTAAAACCGAAACAACAACAACAACTATAACATTTTATGGATATTCCTCTATTATTTAGCGCTTTGGGAGTGGGGGTTGCACCTATCCCACCAAGACTTCATTACATGTCTGGCACACTTCCCCAACAAAATCTCAGGTCATGTAGATGCTCGTGTCCCCCCCTCCCCCACTTCTCAGCATCGAGGCACGTTTCAATTGTATTTTCTCGGGATAATCCATGGCACTGGAGGTTTCCTGCGAACTCTTTAAGATATTGTTAAGTAGATTCTCTCTCTCTCTCTCTCTCTCTCTCTCTCTCTCTCTCTCTCTCTCTCTCTCTCTCTCTCTCTCTCTCTCTCTCTCTCTCTCTCTCTCTCTCTCTCTCTCTCTCTCTCTCTCTCTCTCTCTCCATGTTCAATTCTTGGTTTTATATCCATTTGAAGCATTATTTGTATGAACTCATGTAATGTCTGACGCCTTGGCGCAATAAATTAATAAAATAAAATAAAATAATCCTCTCTCTCTCTCTCTCTCTCTCTCTCTCTCTCTCTCTCCGTATATATATGTATATATATATATATATATATATATATATATATATATATATATATATATATATATATATATATATATATATATATATATATATAACACATACATGCGCACACACACACGGTATACATACAGTCTCTCAGTCTGATCCTTTAACCGGTGTGTATTTTTTACTGGAAAAATATCAAATGCTATCATTAATTGTATTTTCTGCACTTTTACTTAACTAGCTAACCTAACCAGACTTCACCTAACCTTACGTAAATTAACCTAATCTAACCTAACATCATTATTATGACCAAGCCTTCATTTCTTCTTTTATTGCTATATATTTTGGTGACCCTTTATCCCCAAAGAGCTTACAAGAGTGACTGAGATGAATGGGCTCCTGGTAAATGTATGCTTTGACTCGGCCATCCCCATTACAAGTACGTTATGACATCTGCATATACCCTTTTCTCTTATTTACATCGTTATCAACGTTTTGCCCCTCCATATTCTGTCCTAGTTTCTCCCTCGTTAATATTCATTGTCATTATACCACTTCTATCTTAATGGGTGGTAAAGTGGCTTCCAAGATTTGATAATCTTGTTAGGCTTTTTCTGAGAAAATCCAATTATTAGAGGAGTTATCTAGGTCAGCTCTCTGTCGATCCCTAGTCCGGATAAGAAAAGAGGGTCTTTGGCAGGAAGGACCCCTGGCTGTAATACTTCTAGCCAAAATCACACTCTAGCCACCAGTTGTGTGTGTTTATTTATTTATTTATTTTGTTTTTTTACATGGGACGTGTGCCAATCGGCATTCCATGTGACATTTACAGTTCAGGATATATGGAGAGAATTAGTGTCAGGAAGATTATTCGGCTATAAAGCATTTTGTCAGAGCCAGACGCTTGTCCTCTTTAAAAGGCTTGTGTGGAGCAGCAACCTTCTGTAAACGCAGGAAAACCTACTGGTAATGAAAGAAAAAATAGCGAGATAGCTAGATAAATAGCCATTTTGGAAGCAAGTTAGCTTAGTTAAGCCTATATATATATAAAGTGAGTTAGTGTTAAGGAGGGCACAGTGTTCGAGCCTACCTCGGGGCATTGAGAAGGGCATCCAACCATAATTTCCCCAGCATCAACTTGTATGTGTTCACCCCCATTCGAATGAGAAATAACAATGCCATAAAACTTTAAATAAAAAATAAATGTCAGCCAGGGTGTTCGCCTTTGAAACGTAAAGCGAAAATGAGACACTAGTGTTTCAAGAGGCTGCCTATAGACACTCATATTAGACACGAGCTGTGAAGAGGCAGGCGAGCAACAGCAATAAAATAGGCCATGGCGCTGGTTCTCAGGCCTATATAGCTACCCCCATATAAGCATGGAAAGAGAAACCGATAAAGAAGAAGAAGAAGAAGAATAGTGATATTGTTCTAAATGTATTTGGCTTAATTTTATTATTATTATTATTATTATTATTATTATTATTATTATTATTATTATTATCATTATTATTAACCATCATCATTATTATTATTATTATATGCATCCTCATCATCATTATCATCATTGTTATTTTTATTATTATTATTATTATTATTATTATAATTATTACTATTATTAATGCTATTATAATAATATTACTAATAATTATTATTATTTTGTAGTAGTAGTAGTAGTAGTCGCTGTAGCAGTAGTAGTAGTAGTAATAGTATTCTTGGCGACATCTCCCTGATACGTTAATTAAAAATCCTTGTGATATGAGGCTACAGAAACCAATACTACTCGTTCTCATAAAAGACTCGACTCTAATTACTCTAATTAATCTCACGATGTCACAATAGAGCATTGAGCAACTCGGTGTGGATTACTTGAGCTATTTAAGAAAAGTCTCATTCCAATTTTAAAAGATTTCCTCTTAAATTTTTAGATAAGTTCAGGATTAAAGTCTTATTTTATGTTAATCATATTTTTTTTATAGATACATATTTTGTATGTATTATTCGGTTTCTCTGATGTTACTTATTTTTAGCGTATTTCATGTTTATATATATATATATATATATATATATATATATATATATATATATATATATATATATATATATATATATATATATAGTGGATGTGTGTGCATATAATATTATATATATATATATATATATATATATATATATATATATATATATATATATATATATATATATATAAATTATATATATATATATATATATATATATATATATATATATATATATATATATATATATATATATATATATATATATACTATTTCAAACAAAGTAGGTCTATCCTTATTTTTCTTCTTGTTTTAAATTGTGTTGCTATTTTAGACATATTATAGTTGTTACCGTTTGTTACTGTAGTACAGAAAATTATAGAAATTTTTGTTGTTGTTGTTGTATATTATATTTTGATATGATATATATGTCTTAACGCGGCAAGAACAGAATTTCAAGACATATGTTTGATATTTACTCTAAGTACACTCGCGTCATATGTTCAGTCTAAGGTCTCCTGATTCTCTAGTCCTTTTAGCCGCCTCTTACGAACCTAGACCATAAAAGGGTGTATTTTTTTCTGCCTAGCATATGGTATACTAATAATAATAATAATGATAATGATAATAATAATAATAATAATAATAATAATAATAATAACAATAATAATAATTATAATAATGATGATAATAAGAATAATCTCTTTACATGAGCCATATTTCCCCTTATAAGGGGAGTGGCTGAGTCAAGGGAATATAATTATATTCATCATCATCATTATCATCATAATTAGAAGAAGAAGAAGAAAGAGAAGAGTAGGGAGGATGAAATATTATAATATTATTATTATCATCGTCACCATTATTATTATAATAATATTATCATCATCATCATTATTATTATAATTATCATTGTATCATTAGGCTAGCTATGTAAGAAGAAGAACAGCTTACATCTCCTTTTATATAATTAACGAGCCGACTTTGTTTACCAACCTACGAGAAACTTAAATGAAAAAGCAAAAACCAAAACCAAAAAAAAGAATAAAAAAAAAAAAACACGTGTAATCTGGGCCAATGGAAAAGGAGTTTACGGGAAAATATTCTATACGATGCGGACATTTTTTTTTCCATAAAGTTGCAACATCGCTGAGATATTCTTGAAGGTACAAATTTTATTTATTTATTTATTTGTTTAATTTTTGGATTTTCTTTGTTACTCTTTTACGTGTATTTGTTGATTTTTTTTTATGTATTTGGAGACCGCGGTGGCTCAGTGGAAGAGTGCGCTAGTCGGAAAGTAGCAAACCTTACTGACACGGGTTCGATCCCCGCCGTAGGGCGCTAGGAAGGGGATCCAGCCAAAATTCCCCGGCTCTAGCATGTCGTTTTCCACCCCTATTGAATGGGGACTAAGTTTGACAAATAAGAAATTTGTAAAAAAAAAAAAAATGATTTATTTTTTCAGTTATGTAATTATTTTATTTTATATATTTACGTTATTTTTGTCTTTATTTGGTTAATGTTTTTTTTTCCCTCGCAATCCCAGTTAAAAACAACATCATAAAATATGCGATAATTTTGTTTGGTTCCGACGCGATTTTTCTTTTTTTTCCTAGTGGTTTTAGTTATGTTGTAACTATTCTTTTATCTTTATTTTGCTCTTTGGGGGTGTAAAAGTAAACGTTTACTATTTATTTCTTTATTCATTTTTTTTTATATTTACATACTTATGTATTTATTATTTGTTCATTTTAATTTTTATTATTTTCTCTATTTCATGGTTTATGCTTTCTATATTTAATTTTTTATCTATTTAATAATTAAGAAAATTATTTATTTATTTATTTATTTATTTATTTATTTATTTATATTTATTTATTTATTTATTTATTTATATATATATTTATTGGTTGAAGTGGTGGTGGAAGAGGGAGGAGGACCTCTCCACCATATTTCCAACATTAAAGGATTTTCTCCAAGCTATTTCTTGCATCGTTAGGACACATCTTGATGCATTTAGTTTATACATATGGTGAGGTGGGACACAAAACTTTTTTCCTAATATTTCTTGTGAATATATAAATATGTATATAAAATATGTAACATTTAAATATAGAAAAAATAATAAAATATCACATATGAGATTAGTAGAATGACCTAAAGAAATGAACGTACATGGAAGTAAATGGATATATAAATACGCGAGTATATACTTATATCCATACATACACATTCACATGCATTTCATACATACATACATACATATATATATATATATATATATATATATATATATATATATATATATATATATATATATATATATATATATATATATATAGTGAGTTTTATCATGCTAGTTCTCTTTAGAATACGATTTTATGTCTAACAAGAGACAACATTATGTCTCTGGGTTTGCTATCCTATTTCTTGGTATTTGAGATAACTTGCGAAGATGCTTTCTAAGACGAATCCTAAGGGTTGATGCAAACAGATCAAGAAATTGGATAGATAGCAAACCCAGAGACATGATAATGTCTCTTGTTAGTCAGAGAATCGTATTGTAAGGAGAATTAGCAAAGTGGGGCTAGAATACTTCCTCCGTGTTCCCCTGCGTGTCGTAAGAATCGACTAAATGGGGCGGAGCGAGAGGCCTGGGAATCCCCTCCTCTGTATTTTCTCCTCCCAAAAAGTCAGTGTATTTCGCCTTGACTCAGCCACTCCTTTTATAAGGGGAAAATTAGCATATATATATATATATTATATATATATATATATATATATATATATTATATATATATATATATATATATATATATATATATATATATATATTTAGAGGTCAATTTTTTTTGCCTTTCCGAGTGTGGTGTGTGTGTGTGTGTGTGTGTGTGTGTGTGTATAGATAGAAAGAGAGATGGATAGATAGATATATACAATTAGTAGTTGTCATATTAATAGCAAAGGGCAGCTTGGTATACAGCACTGGCATACTGTAAGTAATACGATAATGACCGTAACGTCTCAGGTCATTTATTCATTAGGAACCCATTTTAGGTCATTTGCCTGGAAGCAGCTGTTTTCTTAACCTTATTTCCCCTACCTTCAACCAAACAAGATTATCTCCTTATTCCCCTGCGTGTCGTAAAAGTCGACTAAATGAGGAGTAGCGAGGGAAATAGTAATCCCGTGCTACTTGGCTTCCTCCCGCAAAGTCAAGTCATACGAGGGGTATCTGGTGAGAAAACTCCAACTATTACCATAGCTTGTGATTGCTTTGACTAGGCCACCCCCATTTACAAGGGTGTTTATTTACTGCAGCCACTTGGGGGGGGGGGGGGGCATGATAGCTCAGTGACAGAGTGCGCGAGGCGAAATGATAAGCCTGACCCTTGCTTGGTCCATCCTACCGCTGGGCGTTAGGAAGGGCATCCAGCTTTAATCCTCTTATACCCCAACAATTCTGTGTCTACCCCGATTTGGATGGGGACTAATTGATACCCATAAAATGGAAGCATGAGATTTATGGGTAGGTCAGTGGTTATAGCCTCTGGACACCTCCCCATTTGGCCCTGAGTTCGATTCTTCAAGTTCCCTCATGAAACCTCTTTTCCACAGAGGAAATTTGTATCAAAAGGAGAGGATAATGGCGCCCTCATGAGGTAGCCATTCCCAACTCGGCAGACTCTGCTGAGTGGTATCTTCCAAAGCTTGTATTTCGATAAGTACAGAAATGCCATTATCGCTGCTTACATATAAAGGGGGGTTTACACGGTCAAACGGTTCGTCGAACGCGGTTCGACAGACAAGTGTTTGAAGTGATGTTCGAACGTGTGAACGGGGTATCTGGTTGTCGAACACGTTTGTCGAACGTGTTCGACAACCAAATACCCCGTTCACACGTTCGAACATCACTTCAAACACTTGTCTGTCGAACCGCGTTCGACGAACCGTTTGACCGTGTAAACCCCCCTTTAAGGAAAATAATAATGATAATATTGGTGGTATAAGTTAATTATGATAATAATAATAATAATAATAATAATAATAATAATAATAATGACAGCAATAATAGTGGTGATTATAATAGTAATAAGAGTAATAATAATAATAATAATAATAATAATAATAATAATAATAATAACAGGCATTGATAATTACTACTTGATTACTATATTCTCCAGTGACTTGGTAATAATGATTTCTCTCTCTCTCTCTCTCTCTCTCTCTCTCTCTCTCTCTCTCTCTCTCTCTCTCTCTCTCTCTCTCTCTCTCTCTCTCTCATCTTATTCATCATAGTGCTTCATTAAGTTAATGCGATTTTCGCCTCCATATCCTATGTCCTTGTCGAAGACTTGGCTTAGATTAATACTCTCTCGGATTTTGTGATATATACTAAATTTCCCAAAAGATATTTTGCTTGAAGTTTCCATATTAGTTTTCCATAGGTTTTCTCAGAATACATCCCGTATACCGTTTACATTTTTTTTTTATACAAAGTACCTGCTGTATGTCAAATGACAATAAATTTGGAAAAAAAAAATCGGGAAAAATATTGAAAAATTTAAAGGGAAATATAATTGATTATAGGACGATGGCATTTAAAGGCAACGGGGCTTCATGAAGTGATTATGTCAGCATTTTTAAAGCGGAAACCTATGAAAAATGAAAAGAAAAAAAGAATAAATGCTTTTGTATGATAGTGTGCTATCAGCAATAACTGATTCCAGCATTGTAGAGTGAAAATGACTGTGAACCATGAGGGAAAATGAAAGGTTTGAATGAATATGTTGCCATTTGCATTTCCTGTCATTCAAGAGAATTTTGGAAGAAAAAAAATTGGAAGAGTAAAATAAAATGAAGGAATTGAAAACTTTGATATGAAAATTTCCCCTGAGCATTTATTAACTGCAGCTCTGGTAAAAAGAAAATGCCTATGAAATATAAAATAGAAACGAAGTCTGGAATGAAACTGTCCCAAGAACATTTACTAGTTCCAGCTCTTTTGATAAAAAAAAATAATTAGGAAGCTTTTGAGTGAATGTGTACCTTTATTATTTGCTAATTCCTGCATTGTTAGTGGCCAGTATAATAATCTGTGCAATTAGGTCACATATTGTATGTGAGTTGTGCTCACGTCTTGTGGAAACCTGGAATGACAATGGGAAGATGATGGTTCCAGGAACTGTAGCTTGATGGTATTCAGGCCAGACGTTCCAGCTCGTTACTTGGGTTTATGCATTATATACCGTACCAAGCAAGAACACTGGTGTTCTTTTTTCATTGATGGTTGTCGTCTGTTATTGTTCATGAGTGTTTTATTCATGGCTAGTGGAATATGTTCTATAGGAAAGTTCCTGTCCTTGTGCCGTAAAGGGGTTTTGTCTTGCCCACAGGAAGTTTGTCTATATAGTGTTATTGCATAATAAAGGGTTTTATGCCATATCTGGAAGGACACATCAAAAACACTGGTCTTTTTCTCATGTGTAACTGTCACTATTTCTAGAGAATAACTTCTTAGCCAATAAAGTGTTTTATGCCGTCTCTGGAGGGACACATCAAAAACACTGGTCTTCTTATCATGGCTAACTGTCATTTGTTCTAGAGAATAACTATTGTTTTTTTCTTAGACAATAAAGGGTTTTATGCCATCTCTGGAGGAACACATAAAAAACACTGTCATTTGTTCTTGTGGATAGCAATTGTTCTTGCCCAAAAAACTTATATTCCATGTCTGAAGGAGCCTATCATGAACGCTGGTGTTCTTCTCTTGGCTTGCTACCATATCTTCTAGAGGATCATTATTGTTCTTGTCATGGATTGCTATCAGTTGTTCTAGAATTATTCTTGCACACTGATCTGCTTTGTATAATATTTGTTCGCATGAACAACGTAAGAACATGAGTAGGATTTTTCTCATTGGTGTTATTTGATTGGAAATATATTTGTAATCTTGTATTATTTTGCCCTCAATTTTACCCGATGATTTTGCATCAGAGATCTATATGTGCATTGGACCAGACACTGTTTTAGATATCTCTTCAAAGAAGATTTCTGAAGCATTGTGTCTTGGAACCTTGTTTTATATTTACATAACACTCTGATTCAAAATCACTGTGTAAAGTAACCAAAGATATTTCTTCCACCTCACACACACACACACATACACGCACGCACGCACACACGCACGCACGCACGCACACACACATACACGCACGCACACATACCCCCCCCCCCACACACACACACACACACACACACACATACACGCACGCGCACACACACACACACACACGAACTTGTTCTATTATAATCCACGTGTCTTGCAAAATAATGTATTG